TTGTCTGTTGCTTTTGTCTAAAGGCTTTATTTTTTAAGGGCATGTTTATTTGCATAAGTACATTTAATGTTTTTACCCTGAAGTATTATTAGTTAGTGCCTTTATTTGTACATACTAGGAATATTTAGAAGTATAACCTAAGCAGGTAGTAGTCATAGCACATTAATCCATTCAGGGAACTTGGTGTAGTGTTCTTTTCCCTGAGCTCAGCTTGTAGTTATCTCTTCTCTGTTGTTGTTGTTGTTATTACATTTGCATTTTTTGTATTTCTCTACCTCCCCCTTTTGTTCTCTCAAGGAATAGTACTGAGAATATTCTCTTCACTTTGTTTTTTCACTAAAAATATATAAGATCTTGATTCATAACAAAATAAATATAATTTCATATACATGGAAAATGGGATCAGGTCATACATGCTATTTTTTTCATTTGAAACGTATATACTTGGTTTCCAAATGAATTGCTCCAGGTTCCCTGAGTCCCTCCTTATCATCTGCATTTGTTGTAGGTATTCCTATATCATTTTTATTCATCCATTCCATTTTGTCTTAAAAATCTCCCAAATTGCACTTTATACTAGGAGTATCTCCCTTTCCAGAGTCTATCTTCTGTTCACTGTTCAAATCCCCTTTCTCCTCTCAAACTGGGTTAGGCCAAGGAGTAGTGATGAATGCTATTATCTGCTTGTAGCATTCATGTGAAAATTGCATTGACCTCTGTGTGTATGTGTACATGAGAAGGAGTGAGAGGGAGACTGACTTTATGTAGACACACGTAGACTCAGGCTAACCAGGCTCTGATTCATGATCGTCATAAGAATTATTTAAAAATTTTTAGTGTGCTTCTATTTAGTCTTAAAGGGCTAGCTTTGACAGTTGATTTAAACCATTAATACAAGGAATTCTTGTGAGATTATGAATGCTATAATCATTTAAAAAAAAATTTTATTGTTGAAAGTATTAGATATTCCCCTTTTTTCCCCATTGATCCCCTCCAACCTGCATCCCCTCCAACTCCCCCGCCAGCCTTCCCACACTGTTGTCTGTGTCCATGGTATATGCATATAAGTTCTTTGATTAATCCCTCCCTACCCATTCCCCCACCCCGACTTTCCCACTGAGATTCATCAGTCTGTTTGTTCCATGCTTCTATGTCTCTGGATCTATTTTATTCCTCAGTCTGTTTTGTTTATTAGATTCCACATATGAGTGAGAGAATATAAAACTGAATCAAGAAGAATCAGAAAACCTGAACAGGCCAATAACAACTGATGAAATCAAATCAGTAATAAAAAAAACTTCCAGCAAACAAAAGCCCTGGTCTGGACAGCTTCTAATTCTTTAAATTGTAGGTGTAGATAGTTTACTAAAAGTTTTTTAGCTTTTTGAGGTAGGCCTGTAGTGCTGTGAACTTCCCTCTTAGGACTGCTTTCACGGTGTCCCATAGATTTGGGGTTGTATGTTCATTTTCATTTGTTTCCAGGAAGTTTTTGATTTCTTTCCTGATCTTATTAGTAACCCATTCATTGTTTAATAACATGTTATTTAGCCTGTATGTGTGTTTTTTTTTGAATGTTTTTACTGTAGTTGATTTCTAATTTCATGCCCTTGTGATCTGAGATGCTTGATATGATTTCAATCTTCTTGAACTTGTAGAGAACTTGTGTCCTAGCATGTGGTCTGTCTTTGAGAATGACCCATGTGCACTTGAGAGAAATGTATATTCTGCAGCTTTGGGGTGGAATGTCTTGTAAATATCAGTTAAATCCATCTGATCTGGTGTGCTGTTTAGAGACACTGTGTTGACTTTTTGTCTGGAAGATCTATCCAGTGAAGTCAGTGGGTTGTTCAAGTCCACAACTATGACTGTATTGCTGTTGGTCTCTCCCTTAAAGTCCTTAAGGTTATTATTGATAGGTCCTTATTTATTGCCATTTTAATTCTTTATGCCTATGTTTCTCTAGTTCTTCTTCTAGCAGTCCCTTTAATATTTCCTGCAATGCTGGTTTGGTGGTGATAAACTCCTTTAGCCTTTTTTTGTCTGAGAAGCTCTTTATTTCATCACCTATCTTGAATGATGGTCTTGCTGGATAGAGTAGTCTTGTTTCAGATCCTTCTTTTGCATTACCTTGAATATTTGATGCCATTCCCTTCTGGCCTGTAGAGTTTCTGATGAGAAGTCAGCTGACAGCCTTATGAGAGCTCCTTTGTAGGTAATAGATTGCTTTTCTCTTGCTGCTTTTAATATTCTCTCTTTTTCTTGAATTTTTTGCATTTTAATTATGATGTGTCTGGGCATGAACCTCTTTGGATTCTTCTTGCTTGGGACTCTCTGTGCCTCCTGAACTTGTGTGACTTTTTCCTTGACCAGGTTAGGGAAGTTTTCAGCCATTATTTCTTCAAACAGGTACTCTAGCCCTTGTTTATGTTCAACCTTTTCTGGCACTACTATGATGAGAATATTGTTACGTGTTACATTTCATGTCCCACAGTTCCCTTAAACTGCCCTCCTGTTTTGTAATTGTTTTTTCTTTTTGGATCTCTGATTGAGTGATTTTTTTCCACCCTGTCTTCTAATTCACTGATCCGATCCTCAGCTTCCTCTAATCTGCTGTGTATTCTTTCCAATGTATTCTTTATTTCTGCTATGTCATTCTTAATTTCCTTCATCATTTCCATATCCTTTTCATGCTGTTGAGCATCCTTACAATCAGTATTCTGAACCCTATATGTGAGAGATTGCTTATCTCCATTTCATTTAGCTCTTCTTCTGGAGAATTCTTTTGTTCTTTGTTTTGGGGCTTTTTTTTAAATATATCTTTATTGATTTCAGAGAGAGGAAAGGAGAGGGAGAGAGGGAGATAGAAACATCAATGATGACAGAGTCATTGATTGAGCCCACAATCCGGGCATGTGCCCTGACCGGGAATGGAACCCAGATTGCCTGGATCCTAGGTAGACGCTCAGCCACGCCCAGCCGGGCGGGGCTTGTTTTTTTGTCTCCCCATTTTGGCTGCCTGTTTGGGTTTGTTTCTATGTTTTAGGTAGGCCTGCTAGGACTCTCAGTCTTTTTGGAGAGTTTCTTGTGCAGGCCAGTGTCAGACGCAGTTTGTCACTGGCCCTAAGTACCCTGTTTGGAGCTATCAACAAGCCTCGGCTTGAGATCTTGTTTGCTGGGGCTGGGTGCATTTGGACAGGACCAAGATGCACACCAAAGTCTGTTTTTCCAAGGCCCAGGTCCAGAAGTAGATTAGGCAAAGACTCAAAGCACCCTGAGGTCTGCCTCTGCCTATAGGCTGATTAATCTGATTGTCTTAATGAACCTCAGGCTGTAGAAACTCCTCTGGGTAGGGCGAGAGGTTTTCAGCAGGGTGGGGCAGTTGCTTCCCTCCCCAGGCAAAAGCAGCAAAATGTCTGTCTGAGAAAGATGTCCTCTGTAGTATGGGGGAATGATTTCACCCAAGAATCCAGAGGGGTGCCTTCTGAGCTCTGTCTCCAGAGCACACAATCCTAGATTCTCCTCACACAGCTCCAGTCTGCTCTGCCCTCCCTCTGCTGGAGCCCAAGGTGAGTGGCCACACACGAAACTTTGTGCATTGGCTCTTTAAGAGGGTGCCTGCAATTCTAGCTGCCTCTCTCTGGCAGACAGAAACCCAGCTGCTTTTCACAGCCAGTTATGTGGGCATCTTTCTCAGCTCTGGTGCTCTTGGCTGGGAAGCCCAGCCTGGGGCTTAAGCCCCAGAGTCCTCAGTGGGAACCCCCACAGCTGAGATGTCCCTCGGGACCTTCAGCTGCTGCCTGTGGGAGCCCAGCCAGCCCTCTAGCGCTTCCGCACTTCCTACCAGTCTCTATGTGGTCTCCACTTTTCCTCGGTGATAAAGGTGTTCTCCAGCTCGTCTTCAGCTGTGGTTGATTATTCAGGCTGGTTTTTCTATATATTTGTTGTAATTCCAGTTTGGTCCCAGGGGAGTGTCAGTGTAACTTTCACTCAACCCACCGCCATCTTTTTTGAATGCTATAATCATTTTAATTGGGGAGATCATTAAACTTGTGTCTATTGATAGGCAATGTATGTGGGAATAAATTGTATGTATGGCTTTGCTGTGGTACTTTAGATGCCTTTATGTTTATCTTTATTAAGATTGTTTTCTTCAGCATTCTGTGTCTCAGGTGTTAAGTCATTCAAAGGCAGAGCTAGGGCTTTCTACATTGTGCATTAGTCACCCCTTATTCACAGGGCATATGTTTCCAAACCCCCAGTAGATACCTGAAACTGTGGATAGTACTGAAGTCTGTATGTACTATGTTTCTGCCTTTAGATGCACACGTGTTATAAAGGTTAATTTATAAATTAGGCTCTTCCACAGAAGAAGATTTGTTCTTACCATAGATTTTAGCAGTCTAAGTAAGCATTTTTTTTCTTATTAAGTTGAGAACTTCTGCCTTTTCACTTAAAGGAAGCACTTTATGGCTTCTTTGTGGCATATTTAAAATTGTCAGCATCACTGCTCTTGCACGTTGGGGCCATTGTTAAGCAAAATAAGGATTACTTATCACAATATTACTTATCATAAGCACTGTGATACCGTGATATTGATCTGATAACTGAGATGGCTACCAAGTGACTAAAGGGCAGGTAGTGTATACAGCGTGGATATGCTGAACAAAGGGATGATTCATGTCCAGGGTGGGATAGACCTGAATGGTGTGAGATTTCTTCACACTAACCAGAAAAGCATACAGTTTAGAACTTAAGAGTTGTTTATTTCTGGAATTTTCCCATTTAATATTTTTCGACCTGGGTTGACCATAGGTAACTGAAACTGCTGAATGTGAAACTGCGGATAAGGGGGGCTACTGCACTCTTCAAAGTCTGATGTAGGCTTATTAGGTCTTCATAAATTCTCTTCTGACAGTATCTTTTAAAAAGTAGTCCTTTTTATTTATAACATGGCTAGATTATTTAGTTATTGTACTTAATTGTTTTTCCATCCTTTTCAGGTGTCAGCAGTCCTATCTTTGGAGGGCCCCCTGCTCCAGGTGGAGGGACTGAGTGACCTGAGGCTGGAGCTTCACAGCAAGAAGATGAACCTGCACTTGGTTCTCATAGATGAACTGCACCGGCACCTGTACATCAAATCCACCAGCCGAGTTGCGCAGCGTAACAAGGACAAAGGGAGAATGCGGTGGGTTCCCGGGCTCTCCGCGCAGTGTGCTGAGGCAGTGTAGGAGTCTAAGGAATTTTATTCGTTTCCCAGAACATTGCTGTTGTTTATTTTACTTCTCTTTTTAATATACTATACTGTCTTTGGAAATACTCCCTGTTCTTAAAGGCTGGCATTCAAAGTTTGTTCTTTTCTTTATTGCATGTTTATTATGGCCCTCTTATGTAAAGATACATAAGGAGTATTATGGTCCTCTTACATAAAGTTACGTAAGAAACATTTGCTGTGGGTCTCTAATAACCTGGGTCAGAGATACTTTGGTTTATCTCTGAAGGAAGAGAAAGAAAATCCTTAAACTGGATAGTGAAGTCAACCTAGTTAAGAAATATAGCTGTATGAACTGGAGTTACAAGATTCTTTGTTACTTACAAAGAATTTAGTTGTATTTAGCTAGAGGATTGTAGACAATCCTCTTTCTGGAAGAGTTTGGGAGAGCCCTCTATTGAAGGGCCTGGAGTGGACTCAAGAGATTCATTAGGTTAGTGTAGACCTGGTAGGGAGTAGACCAGATCTTAAGGCAGTTAAGGCAGTAGAACATTGGCATCGTTAACATGTAGCAGAGAGCTGTGCATGTCATGTCCTTCCAAGATTCCTTTAAAGTAGCCGTAAGGTCTTTCAGAGGGCAGTTTAGCACTATCTACTGCAACATACTTGTTCACACCCTTTCATTAGCTGTAGACAAGAGGAGCACTGGGAGCAGTGCATGCTGGTAATGAAATCTTTAAAGTCCTGTCCTATTTAAACAGAACCTGCCGACTTGTGTGTGATGCTTCAGGTTAGTTGGAGACACTGCCAGAGAAAGAGGCGTTTCTGTCCCTTACCCGCATATGGGCATTAGAAAACCTGCCAGCCACACAAATTGCTCTAGGGGTTATATACCTGAGACTTAACTTCAGCACTGGATCTGAACAGAATAACTGTTAGCACCTTAGTGGAGAGTAGGGGTGGGTGGGGACAGTGCTTAGGAACTTGGCCATCTACAAGCCAAGGAGAGAGGCCTCAGAAGGAACCAACTCTGCCAGCGCCTTGAATTTTGGACTTCTAGCCTCCAGAACTGTGAGGAAATAAATTTCTGTTTGTTTAAGCCACCCAGTCTGCCATATTTTGTTATGGCAGAAGCAATACTTAGAGTGTAAGTAAAGAAACCTATTTGAAGAGAATAAAAATACTTTGATCTGCAAATCAATTCAAGATGAAATTAATGAAAAAAGTTACTCTTAGATATGATCCAAAAATTTTTATGAATTTCAAAAGCAAATTCTGTAAGTGCTAGGAAGAAAATTGATGTTATCTGTTGTGACAGAGAGTTATTTGCCCACCTAATATCGATTCTCCCCTTCTTCATTTTTAACAGTGGCTTTATTTTGTTCCTGGTGGCCATATGCCCAGCTACAAGGCTATGCTTTCTAGACTCCTATGTAGCTAAAATCAGTGAGACTTCTGCTTGCAAGCTGTTGAATCAGTGCTCATAGGAAAATTCTTTAAAGGTGCCAATCAAATTGCTATGCTCACTCCTTTACCCCTCATGTTCCTTCATTTACTTCCCATGTGGGACATGGATTAGTGCCATCAATCCATCTTAGACATGAGGGAACCTTCAGGATGGAAGCCACATTGTAATCTCTTTAATGACACGAGTCCTCTATTATAGCCCTGCATAAGTTAAATCTTTTATATAACAGGAAGGAAAACCTTTGTTTTACTCAGGCCACTATTATTTGAGTCTTCTGTTTTGTACAGTTAACTTAGTACTCATCCACAGAAAGGAGTAAAAATCAGGTACACCAGGATTTGCTGACCAGAAAATGCCAAGATACAGCAGATACAGAGCCAAATTGACAGTGTTGAATGGGGATGATTTGGGGCCAAGGATATCTATACTCAACTAAATGGACATTGATATGCATGGGTAGCAAAGAGACATTCTCAGATATAAATTAACAGAAATTAAATCACTTATTTTCTGAGGAGAATACTCAGTGATGAACTCTGAGATATAAATCAAATTCAGCAACATGAACAATAAAGTTGTAGGTAATTTATAACTACTGCAAGGACTAAACACCATTAAATATCTAAATTTACATATAAATAACTGACAAATCTATTTTTACAAGATCAAAAATATTAGCTGAAAATTATTTTTGAAAAAGGTTTAACAGCAGTCTAGTTTTATTCTTTTGTATGTTCTTTCCAATTTTCCCAGAACCATTTATTGAAGAGGCTTCCTTTTCTCCACTGTATGTTTTTGGCTCCTTTATAAGAAATTATTTGACCACATACGTGGTTTTATTTCTGGCTCTCAGTTCTGTTCCATTGTCCCGTGTGTCTGTTTTTCTGCCAGTACCAGGCTGTTTTGATTATCGTTGCTCTGTAGTATAATTTGAAGTCAGGTAGTGTGATACTTCTGGCTTTGTTCTTTTTTTTCAGGATTGCTTTGGCCATTCGGGGTCTTTTGTGGTTCCATACAAATCTGATGCATTTTTTGTTCTATTTCTTTAAAAAATATGGTACTAATTATCACTGCAATGGCAATCATATTACAACATATAAATGTTTCAAATTAACATGTTGTACCCATTAAATGTACATAATCTATATGTCAAATATATTTCAGTAAAAAATACATGATAAAGAAAGAGGTGTATGTGGTCAAAGAAGACTATGTAATAATAAACAGGATTTATATCTCAACATTGTTAGTAGACACTGGGAAATTTGGATAGGCAGGAGATAGAAAGGAGTCAGAAGCTGTTTTATTTTGGATTTTAATAATTAGAGAAAATGTGTTTAATTCATTGAGATTTGTGTATATTAACCTAGATATGTGTATTTAACGATTTCTATACTGAAAAATCACTAGAGAAGACAGAACAAGTAAGACATATTGTCTGCTGCAGAGGTTGATGTATTAGCCAGTGTTCTTGACTGCAAATAGCAGGAGTCAGTCCTGGTAACTAAAACAAGGAAGGAACTTAGTGGAAAGTTATCAGGTAGGTCACAGAAGCTAAGAGAAGGAAGTCTGTATGATCAGGCTCTAAAACCCAGGAGGGACCGAGGGACCAAGGGGGATGACGCTGAGCTCACATCATAGACCGGTCATGGGAAGGCTCTGTCTGGTTGGGTTGCTGGGCTGCTGGTACCATGCCTACAATTGCCTGATTTTTAACTCTCGGTTAAATGATCTCTAAATGTCCCTGAATCTTTTCTTCATCTCCTCAAGATTCAAAGTCCTGGGTAGAAGCATTCAGTTTGTTGAGCCTGGGATATGTCTGGTCTCCTTCAACTTCCATAATAGGAAGTACTGTCCTCTTTCTGTTTTGCTTTGACCTGGACAATGGAGAGTCTCTCCAGTACAAAGACTGTTCCGATTGTTGGTATCAAAAAACAAACACCCAAACACCCAACAAGTTTCTTCTGCCAGAGAAAAGAAATCACGTGAAAGCACACACATATAAAGAACAGATGTTTTTGAAGTAGAAGTTGAAAAGAATTGAAATGATGTATACTTAAATCTGTATCCTTTATATGTAGATATAAGTGTATTTGTATGGAAGATTCCTGAAAGGATATTGCTGAAACACTGATAAAAGGGATTACCTGTGGGAGCTGGGAATGGAAATGGGGAATAGGAAAGAAGGACTCACCCCTTACCCTCTGCCTTGTGAGTATGCTCATCATGGGCATGTATTATTACTTTAATAACAACACACGTATTAAGGATGCTTTTGAAGATAATTTTTAATGAAATGGCAAAATGGGGAAAGACTAGGATTTAAAATTCTATACAGGATTATCCAAAGAACGTTGAAAAAGAATTTACCTGGAAAGAGAGAGAGAGAGAGAGAGTGTGTGTGTGTGTGTGTGTGTGTGTGTAAGCAGCAGGGATGAATGCGCAGTCAGAGACTTTGTTGTGTTAAATGTTTTGGAAGGGCCATATGCCAAAATTATAATAGTAGATTATTTTTCGTATTTTTAAAAAAGAATTCTTAATACCTTATAAGCAGATAAAATCAATAAAAAGTTATTTTTTAAATAGTTAATCCTTTTATTTATTGCATGCATCCTGAGTTAATACTTGAACAACCTTGCTTTCTTGGATGCTCTCTAGTTCATGGAGGAGAAAGTTTCAGACTCATGGATTTTGGTGTCCATATTTGTCTCTGGGTATGTAAAGAGTGACCTTGACCCCATTGTATTATTTGCTGCTTATTTTCTCTTTTAATTTTTTTTTTCATATGGCTGTTTTCTTTCTATTACTGTCCAGTTTTTCCCTCTGGCTTTTTCCTCTTTGCTTAGACTTTAGCTTCACTTTACTTTGTATTACATGTACTTAACTCTTGGTCTGTTATTTGAGACCCTGATTGTTTTTGACTTTTATGCCCTCTGAATCATTCATTATTCTTTCTGTATGTTCTGACAGATCTTAGAACTGTAGAAAATTACTGCGCCAGCCATTCCTGTTTCATTCGGCCGTTAAATTTTCTTACTAGGGGCATATTATCTTTGACAAATACTTCTCAACTCAGTTTGATTTAACAAACTTTTACAAGCACTTGCTCTTTGGCAGGTAGTGTGCCAGCTGTTGGTGTTATAGTGGTGAATATATTAGTTACTAGATTTACAACTTAAAGTTCAACTCACCTCTGTCAAGTTTTAGTTTGACAATAAAGTCAACCAAATGAGCTGTTGCTGTAAATTTTGGACATAGTTGGACATATTTATTACTAAGTGAAGGAACAGAAATAAGTTCTAATTAAAAAGCAAATGTTTAATAAGCTGTTAGCACTTCTAATCCTTATTTAAAAAACAAACCCAAACTTTTCATGGCTTGAAATATTGAAATGAAACACATTTAGAAGTAGCTCCTTACTAACTGGATAGATGGTTAACAGCCAGAAAGTTCTTGGGGTGGTTGTGGTAGGGACTGTTTTCTTGGAGTAGTTTAATTTGCTTTATACTTTTCTTTTCTGCTACCATGTGGTTATTTAATAGCAAATCACATTTTATCACAGTATACAATCAGTAATTTGGGGGAGATGGTCTTACGTCCATCAGCTGTCTTTTTCAACTCAGCTATGAATGATTCTGAATGGATTTAAAATAAAAATTTGTAAGCATATGTATTTTAAAAAAACCCCCACAAAACTATCAGTATTTCCTCCCCCCCCAAAAAGCCCACATGCCTGAGTTGTGGGCTTGATCCCCAGTAGGGGGTGTGCAGGAGGCAGCCAATCCATGTTTCTCACATTGATGTTGCTCTCTCTCCCCCTCTCCCTTCCTCTCTCTCTCAAGTCAATTAAAAAAAAAAACATTAAAAAAAAATAAGGCAGTTCAGATTATTCATATTAATTGGAAACTTGAAAAGAACAATCTAATTTTGATTTTGTTTGTTATAAAAAATACTTCCCTCTGAGAGATACAAAACCTTTTGAAGGTACTAATTATTTAATACCTCTGAACTTTATTGCTGGTGTATGGTGAGAACAGACTTCTTTCTACTGTCTGAAGTGGAAACTGAGCTATGTGCTATTTAGGTGTGATATTCTATAGTGGCACCTACCATTCTGCTGAGCTTCTTGTCTGTAGCAACTGAGTGAGTGGGTGTGCCCCTTTCTCTTGCACTCTTGAGATTAAGTCCTTCCATAAAAGAACAAGAGAAAAACTAAAAGTCATTTGCAGAGTGACTTGCCTTTGGGTTAGTGTTCATAAAGGAGAAAATTGAAGCCCAAGGGAAAATTTTAGAAAGAGAGATGAGTCTATGAAAATAGTTTTGCAGTAAATTGACTTTCTGAAAGTTTATTGATGGAGTTTGAGGGCCCTTCTGGCCCTGGTAATAAACTCAGCAGGTTATTTTTTCAAAGTTAACATGGCAAGCTATTTGTTACCCTATATTTAACGAAAATATATTTTTAGCTTAAAACTGAGAAAATAATGATAGGCTTTGATCTAAAGTGAATCATGTGCACATCTGTGTTTATAGAGTAATATATATATATATATATATATATATACATATACATATATATATATATATAGGGGTGCGCACACACACACACATATATGCACACACATATGTACTAACTGATCTGCTTCATTCCTAGGCTTGGCAGGCAGCATTCCAGCCATACACTTGAATTTCCCCTCTAATTGACACCTTCGTTTATCAGTGCTTAAAAATAACTCCTCCACTTTTGTTATGGAAATATTTATAAAATGTATCATATATTTTTCTTATTTAAAATTGAAATGAACTTTTTCTTATTTACTCAGTAGCAGCCCCATAAACATCAACAGTACCCTCTGCTCTTGGGCAGTTGTATATCAGGGTTGGGGAGATATATAGAGCTGGTTTCCCAACTGTGAGTAAAATGCAGGTAACAGATGAGGTCGTTGAGAAGAAAAATGAGAAGACTGTAGTCAGTATATGAAAGATAAATGGATGAATTTATGATCTAATGGGTTTGTCTGTTAATCTGATAGGCACTGTTGTCATAAACTAGTGGGTTTGAAAGCTCTGTCGGATTTTCTTAAGATAGTTTAGGCAAATAGGAAGTTACAGCTTATATTGGAGGAAAAGAGTTATTGGAACTGTATCAGTTCAATTCTTAGTAAATGCTGTTTCTGTTACTTTTATATCTTATACTTCACTTTAGGTTTCACATTAATCTGCAGGTGATTCCTGTAGTTGGAAATGTGCTAAGTTTGGTTAGCTCCTACCTTAGTCATTGTGGGATCCTCAGCAGTAGATGCAGTGCCAAGTGCATAGCAGATGCTTAGGACTTGTTTGAGTAATAATTCCCCCTTCTCTGTATTAAGTGAAAAGGAAGAACTTGATGACTGTTGTAGTTCTTTATCTTTGTGGCCTAGGACAGTGAATCGCACGTTACCAGCGCTCCATAAAAATAATACCTTACATGATAATTTTGCCCTTTAGCCTAAAGTTTGCTTTTCAGAGTTTTCTGAAAAGATGTTTATTTTTTATTAGCTTAAAAATACACACAGCCCGGCCGGGCGTGGCTCAGCGGTTGAGCATTGACCTAGGATCCAGGTGATCAGGGTTCGATTCCTGGTCAGGGCACATGCCCGGGTTGCGGGCCTGATCGATGGCTCTCTCATCATTGATGTTTCTATCTATCTCCCTCTCCTTTCCTCTCTCCAAAATCAATAAAGATATATTTAAAAAAAAAAAAAAATACACACATACCTAGCATTTTGGTTCCAGAAGTAGTGTAGGAGGGAAATGGGGATATATCACTGTGGCAGGGGCGAGGAACAGATGTTCAGAATTGCACGCATCCTTTCATTACATCTGGAGAAAGTGTTGCGGCAGGTATGGTCTCATCCCTGCTCCCTCTGCCTCCCCTCCCTTTATAACTCACTATGTGAGTCATTTGCAGGGATAGCAACTCTTATAGATGATGTGTATTAGGACTGGAAAGGGGTGATGGGAATTCTCTATGGCTTTGACCTCTCTCCCCTTGGGACTTGACTTAGAGAAGCTTTTCTGTTGTAATGCAGTGTGATTAGATGATCCAGTTTCTGGAAGGTGAGACACAGGTGTTATTTGCCTTAGCATTGCCTATATTCTTGCACTTAACAAATGCCCATAAATGGGAATTAACTTGAAATTTTAAATTTTTTTTATAGCCTTTGTGTCATTTAAAATTGATGTGTTTATTTTGGAGACTCTAAAGTTAATCACTAAGATGAGGGGCTAGGCCTTTTTGGAAAAGGTGATAGTCAAACACTGAATTAACCTGTTCAAAATTCCTCACATCATTTGTTATTGTAGTGATTCTCAACTTGATGAAATTTATGAACCTCTTTTAAAGAAAGCGAATGTAGTGAACTCCCAGACTATTTCAAAGACCTTTAGCTTGCAAAGCACAAATCAGACTGGGCTTAACTGGCTAAACCTTCATTCGGGTGTCATAATATGGTGTCATTTGCTCTTTCTTTGCTTGTAAATTAATTTAATACAGAAGCAAAGGAGGGTACTGAAATTGCGTGGTGTAATTTGGTTCTAAGGTGGCATCCAGAAGATCTAGAACAAATTTAACATCCTTTTTTTTTAACCTTGCATCGGAATGAAAAGATAATAAATATTTAAATATTCTTGGAACCCATATAATAACCCAGCCAATCACCACTTCACTGGAAATATTCTTGGAGATATTTGAAGTCATAGTATAAAGAGGTCTCATAACAGAAAGAAGGTGATAAGGGACCGCCATGTAGTGAGACTTAAGTTGTTTTGGGAGAAGGTGGTAAGTAACTATTGCTGCTTTTCCCTTCAGCTCCCTTGCGAAAGATGCTTCTCCTGTCCCTCTGATTGATGTGACAAACCTTCCTACGCCTCGAAAATTTATTGATACCTCTCAGTATTCAACTCCTGGAAGCTCAAGTGGTAAGTATTCAACACTCCAGCCTCTACACTTCTCGGTATACTGCAGCTCCTAGGCAAAGGTCTAGGGATGCCCGTGGGGCTGCAGGGCCCGAGGCTAGTGCCTGGGGCGCCACGAGCCCTTAGCCTTCCTCAGAAGGGAGTAAGGTTTAAGAAGATTGGTTGGGCCTGTTGCGCGTATCACGGTTGAAAACTGGCTCCGAATCTGGCCTGCCTGCTGAGTCAAGCTGTAGGTGTGTTTTATTTGACCAGCACTGCTTGCTTTTCTGAAGTTGAATTTAAATGTTTTTGGTGGAGTGTGTGTTATCCTTTTTGCTGTAACCTCTATTGTTCCTGTTAGCTTTGACCCAGCTGTTTCATATACTACATTCCCTGTATGGTCCTTGAGGGCTTTTGAGTGTTTGACCCTTTTATTTCTGCATTTTGACTCCTATATCTTCCAGTGGCCTCCTCACTTCATATGTGCCTGCACGCGCGGCTCCCCCCCCCGCCACACTTTGAGGACATATTCTCAAAGTACTTGTGTTTCTTCTTGGGCTACCTAAATTCTGTTGATTAAGATAAAGGAGAGCCATTTTGACCTATATTTAAAGTTGGGCGAGGGAGAGTGTACTTGGAATCTAGATGCAAAGATTTAGGGGAATTCTGGTGTGGTTCAGACCTAACCATCAGAGAATTCAGCTCAGCTTGGCTTGGAGAGCTGCTGGGCATCTGCAAAGAGATGCTCTGTTATTGCACCTCTGGGTTGGGGAGAAGGGGACTGGATGTCTTTTATGGGATGCCCTGCAGGTACCTTCCTTTGACAGCCTTCCTCAACACCTTTTCAAGAAATAGGGTCATTTATCTTTGGCTTTTCAGATACAAACTAGTTCTGTAGTCCTGTAGAGCTTGAAATAATCAAAAGGTAGAAAAACTTATTGGATTTAATCAATACATTCTGTGCAACTAATTGAAAGTACTTTTTTAGGAGAGCTTAACTATATACTTCTTTTGCTGGGGCATATTTAATTACCTTTTAAACATCATTTAATGAAATTTAGGGTTATTTAAGCTTGGAATCTTGAAGTTTATTGCTTTTACTCTAGGAATTATTTTATAATAGGTTTTTCTTTTAGTCTGCTTAGTTACTGATTTTTTAAAAGACCCCAAACACTGATTTTTATCACGGCGCTTGACAAAGGTTTTTCTCATGTCTCTCCCTGGTGTTCAGAGGTTTTGTCTTCTCCTTCTTTCTGTCATAGTGTTGCTATTCCTCGAGTTTTGACATTGCTTTTGGCTGTTGCAGTGTGTGGAATTATGAAACACAAAATACACCTATACATTTGATTTGTATTTGCCTCTAATTTTTGTGGAATTTACCAGTTATATCTTTGTGTTTTTATAGTGTAAATCATCATTGCTTAGCTAGGTTATGTCAATTTATGTAAATGTTGCGTAGTCAATAGCCAAGTGAAATAGGAATTTAATTGTTTATGAAGAAATGATAGGGCGGGTTTGCTAATGAAAAGTGCTGTATAAATACCAAATAAGCTGAAAAAATGCCAGTTATGGACAGTTTCAGTAGAAACTAATTTTGCAGCATCTATTATTTTTAATAAGACAGCTCTTACTTCTTGATGGGCACTTTTTTGTCACACCCTGTTAGCCGTTATCACTTAGTGGAGTTCTTGTTGACACTTGGACTTTGGCAGTCTCTTCCTTAATTATTGGAATGACTCTTGAAGAACTGCACACTGTAGTTCAGTGGAGCTGGGACTCTCATGTGGACTGCTTGTAGATATGTGTACAAACCTTAATTGTTAGAAGGGCTCATTTCCTTGATTGTTTTGAAGACTACTGATCTCGTAGTTATTATTGATTAAAATCAATAATAGCGGTAGTTAAGATGTGTTTAGTGCCTTCTAACTGTGAAACAATATTTTAAGTGCTTTACATGAATTAACTTACTTAGTTCTTCAACATTCTTTTAAGATAGGTACTGTAGCAGCTCTTCGACTAATGTTTTGTTGTAATGTTGATGAGATGCCTTAAGAACTTAACTCTTGTTATATCAGTTAGCCTGTGGTAAAATTGGTTTTGTTATACATTGTTTTCCTTGAAGTCTAAGAACCTACAAAGACATTAAGTGTGAGGCTTCCTGTACTAATAGCCTCATTTTGCAGATGAGAACACCGAGGCTTAGGGAGGGTTAATACTTGGTTTCAGTTGACTCAACTGACAAGTAGTAGAGCTGTGATTTCAAATCAGGAGCTGGGCTCCAGTGTGCTCAGTTTGTTTTCCTGCAAATAAACAAGGCGTGCTCTTTGTATTACTTTTCTATTGCTGCCACAACATAAATTCATCATTGTATAGTTTTGTAGGTTAGAAGTTCAGTATGAGTTTCATTGGGCTAAAGTGAAGGTGTGGGCAAGGCTGTGTTCCTTCTGGAGGCTCTATGGGAGAATTTGTTTCCTTGCCTTTTCCTGCTTTCTCTTGCCTCGTGGTCCCCTTCTCTGCATTCAGAATCGGAGATGGTGGGTCATGTCCTTTTCATGTTACATTTCTGTGATCCACTCTTCTGTCTCCTTCCTTTTTTTAAGGACTCATGTGATTAGATTGATTCCCACCTGGATGGTTCTGGATACTCTCCCAATCTCAAGGTCCCTGACCTTTGCCATGTATGGTAACATTCCTTGATTTTGGGGACGAGGGCAGGGACATCTTCCTGGGACCACTGTTCTGCTTATCACACTTGGCACTGTTTTCTGACTTGAGGTATCCTTAGGAGCCAATATGTAAAAATTTGACTTTTTTGAAGTTGTGTGTGAAGTCTTTTTTAAGTCATTGCAGTTCTAGGCTTTAGGACTGTAAGAATCTGGTGATGTTATTAAAGGGGATTGTATAAATGTGGAAGATGTAAATGAATGTTACTAAGCACACACAGAGTGTGAGGCTGGTGAAATATAGTATAATAAAGGGCAAGCTCTTTCTTATTCTTAATAATGAACGGTAAGTCCTCAGAGTCTATTTGTGAGGCGCTCTGCAGGTCAGCCTAGAAAGTAATGTCATTTTCAGCAGGGAATTTAACACAGGCTCTTAAAGCTTCCCTCTCATACTGTGAAAAAGTAGAACTGAGGGTGTAATCCATTACAACTGATGTTTTTATGGAGGGAGTTCTGATAGGGGATCCCCGGGTAGAACAGATCTTCCATTGGGGTGCCATAAATTAAGGTTGGAGATGATTCATGAGAACTTTAAGATTGTTATTAATTAAATGAGAATTTTGATTCCTGTGAATGAGTCATTTTTCAAATGTCTTATTTAGAGGTAGAGTTGTGCCTTTCTTTGAGAGATTTTCTATCGTAGTTTACATGTTATAGTTTGCAAGATACGTTACATCATTCAGCTGATGCAACATTCAAGGAGGTAGTTAGGGCAGGGAATGTTGTCATTATCATTAGGATTATTACATTTATATCTTATCATATTTGAGTGTATTATTAAATATCTAGATTATCATAAAAGTTGTATAGAATTATATATGTGTATTCATCTAGTTAAAAAAGCATTTAATTATAAAATGCAAAATCAAGACACAGATTGGCAGAAACAAGCAACCCATTCAGAGGATGATCCAGCATCCAGCTAACTTTCCCACTTAATAATGAAGAAAAGAAATGGCATAATAAATAATGGCAAATAATGGGCCGTTCGCAGAAGAGTCCATACACATGGAAAGCCTGGCATTTACCTGACCAAGTATCCAGGATATATAAAGAACTCCTGTAAGTGAATAAAATAAGCTAGTAGAAAAACAGGCAAAAATATGAACAGGTAGTTTACACAGAAGACATGTATGCTAGTAAAATGTATGAAAAACTGCTTTTACTCTCTAGTTAATCAGTATTTAAAAAACTCACTTTACACATATGGAAATTAATCCAGGGAGATTGAGTGATTGGTCCAGGTTCAACTAAGATGGTAATTGTTGGGGGCTGGCCTCATGCTGTTCCCACTCTAAATGCGTAGGGATGCATTTTGGGAGCCTTTTTCTTATGATTTTCATCAGTCACAGTGTGTTGTAACGTTCAGGGAAACTAATGACTAATTTAGGTGTAGTAATTCAACTATAACTTGGGTAGAAGGATGGGAGAAGTGTGGAGAAAAGCCAATAATTGTGGGAAAATGTTGTTTTAAGCTTTTGGAGTCGTAGTATGTCCTTTCATTTGGCCTTCTGCCTTTGGAACACTCTGACTGAGCAATTACTCCCAGGGTACACAGGCATTTCATTTGTGGCTTCTGTAGTCATGTTAGTCATGCTCCTGCTGGGATTGCTGTGCTTGTAACTATAATGAAACTGGACTTCTTACGTCTTTTCTTTTTGGCTCCAGCATAGAGTAAGCAGTAAAAATAAAGAGAGCACAAATTACATGACTTTTTTTCTTTTGCTGCTGTTTCCTTGGTGTGCATTTTTATTTCATTAAAAAAAAAAAATCTTTTTAAAAATTTTATTTATTAATTTTAGAGCAAGAGGAAGGGGGAGAGGGACAGACAGAGACAGACAGACATTGATGTGTTGTTCTGCTTATTTATGCATTCATTGGTTGATTCTTGTATATACCCTGCCTGCAACCTTGGCATATTGGGATGACACTGTACCCTGCCAGGGCCTTATTTCATAAAGTCTGGTTCTGAGACTTAATATCTATCATGAGAATTTTGGTTCTGATATTTAAACTATTCTCTCTACTTGGGGTGGGAGCTATGAACCCCAGCATAAAAGGAGGTAAAGTTTCTCCTTTTGGAACTCACATGTCTAGAATAATGAAGATCTGGTTTTCCAAAATATTCTGACACCTTTCGAGTTACTTCTGTCCTCAGGTCAGGGCCTCCATTGGCATTTTAAATCAGCTGTTCCTGAAGTATCTTGCATTTACTCTTATGAAATATCTTCGTTGATTTCTGTGCTGCATTCTAAGTACAATGAGGGATATATACAAGGCAGGCAAAATAGAATTAATAGT